TGCCTTTCCCTGCGGCTCGATGGGGTCACCGTCTAACCTGAAAGGCCAGGAATGAGGAGTGAAACAGTTTCCCGCTAAACTGATGACGAAACTCTGATCTTAGTCTCTAAGTTGAACGGACTCATTTCGGTTGACAGGAAGGCGAGACCAAGCCCGGGCCCTGACCCACCCTCGGTGGGGCCTCGCAAGTGCGGCGAGACCCGGTCCTCCCTCCCGGGTCGGGGACTCGTCTCCTCGCGGCCACAGGCGCGGATCAGAACCGGGAGACAGGGCTCCGGGGACGTCAGGCCGGGGGCGTGGTGTATGCAGATGAGCAGGCGCGCAGAGGCTGCCGGTCGCACTGCGCCGGCGCCCCCACGTCCCCGCATCCGGAGATGGATGCGCCCCCGGGGTTGCTGTGGCGACGGCCGCGGTTGCGGCTCGGGTCCCTGGGGCAGCGGGGGCGCAGCGGCGTGTTGAGTGTAGTGAGCGTGTGTGAGGAGTGTGTCGCGCGTGGGGGTTGGGGTGTGGGCGGTGGCGGCAACTCATACTTACCTGGCAGGGGAGATACCATGATCACGAAGGTGGTTTTCCCAGGGCGAGGCTTATCCATTGCACTCCGGATGTGCTGACCCCTGCGATTTCCCCAAATGTGGGAAACTCGACTGCATAATTTGTGGTAGTGGGGGACTGCGTTCGCGCTCTCCCCTGGTCCTTCCGGTTTCAAAAGCAGAAGCGACTGACTCCCTAGTGGGCTCTTCCTGGCACACTGTAGAGAGCCTCAGTGGGTGGGTTCCAGTTACTTTCTCCTTTGTATTTTCTTTATCTCCTTCCCGGCTTTCAGAACCTCTCGAACCAGTTTTACATTCTTAGCTGCTTATCCCCCAGGTTCAAATTTTCCTCAGCACAGAGCAGGGCAATCCCAAAGCAAATAATGCGCGTCGGTGGGTCGGCGCGTGGGTTTTCTCCGAAGTGCGGGTTGGGAATGAGAGGTCGTAAAAGTTCTGTCCTGCAGAAGCTGCTCATTGTGTTAGTTGCCTGCAGCCAAGCCTATCTTACCCATGGAGCTAGCTCTTTTTAAGATTATATATATATACATATATATATATTTGACTTCAGAGAGAGAGGGAGATAGAAACACCAATGATCAGAGAGAATCATTGATCGACTGCTTCCTGCATGCCCACACCTAACCCCCGCTGGGGATCAAGTCTGCAACCCGGGCTTGTGCCCTGACGGGAATCTAACCGTGACCTCCTGGTTCATAGGGCCATGCTCAACCACTGAGCCAAACTGGCCGGGCAGTCTCTATTCTTTGGAATTGGTTTTGTATAAAATTTGAGTGAAGATGTACATTGACAAGACCCAAAACTAATTTAATATATCAGTAATTACACGAATAATAAACTTATTTGGTAAATAATTTTATATATTATTTAATATTGACTTGCTCAAGTACATTTTAAAAGATTAGTTTTTTCCATTCACTTTTGAAATATTTTCCTTCAGATTTCAGTAGCATTTTACATATGGGAACTTGTAGAGAATTTAGATGTCAAAAATAATTTCTAGCCAAAACCGGTTTTGCTCAGTGGATAGAGCGTCGGCCTGTGAACTGAAGGGTCCCAGGTTCGATTCCGGTCAAGGGTATGTACCTTGGTTGCGGGCACATCCCCAGTAGAAGATGTGCAGGAGACAGCTGATCGATGTTTCTCTCTCATCGATGTTTCTAACTCTCTATCTCTCTCCCTTCCTCTCTGTAAAAAATCAATAAAATATATTAAAAA